CGAATTCATGTAAATAAAAACTAAAATAAAACTAATCTAGGGTCATTGGTTTTAAGAACCAAAATCTGAAGTAAGGGATAAGTAAAGTGAATACGCGGTGGTTCCATGAGTAGGCAACCATCAAACGAGCATTCATAAAGCAATCTTGACCCAATTGTTTGGACTTAAGTTATCCATATTAAGTTCAAGCAGTTTACCTAATAATAGTGATTTATTTTTTTGCGAAATTAATTTATCACCAAAGTGATGCATTCCACCCAAACCCCTGTTCTCTGCTATCAGTCCATAACGTAAACTGTACCGGCACACCGGAATGTCTCTGTTTATGGTAGCGCTGACCAAATTGGATTTCAGCTACGCACACGCTTGCTTATAGGCGGCTGATTTCATTTTTCGCATGTATGCAGTTTGAACTGGTTGCCTCACTTGCCTTATTCAGCCTATTTTGCGTCGCACAAGCCATCTCACCATCTCCTGTAAGTTTATTTTATTGCGATCTCATGTAAAATCTTCAGTGGAAAAATTCAGCCCTAACACGAAGCCTTGGTTTTTTAAATTAAATTTATAACTCGTTTGAGCGTAAAAAACGATAAGTTGAATGCGCTTACGGAAATTGTTAAGATTTCCGAAATTCTTTCCCATTCACTTACTAATCTTTTAATAGGAGGATGTATTTAACCAAGATGTGTGGATTTAGTTATTAAGGCAATGAAAATGGTAAGTTCAAGTTCCCCAAACTGCCCCAGTCATAAAACGATATTTTGAAAGCTTAAATTTTACATATTGTGCCCTAAGAATGCGCATACCGATCTAAGGTTAGTATTTTTTATTCATGTGCCTGAATAATCAGTGAAATTATATCTGTTAGTACTGACAATACTTCGAGACGGAAACAATCGCTCGAGTCTTAATTAGGTTTGTCGTGTTAGCTACAATGGTTTCAAGGCATTTAGTAAAAATCACTTTGTTCCCGTGATGATGTGGTACTAGGTATTCTATTTGAAAGGTGTCATATAATTGTTACTAATTTTGGGGTGTCGCGTTATATATTTTAATTGGCGAGCAGATAAAGGATGCCAATGGCCTTGTGATCGTTTTTTTCAAATTACGCATCGGAGTGAAAGCTCGTTGTTAATTCTGATCTTTAATCAGAAACGCAGATACAGGCCAAATTCGTGGTCACCGATCTGGTTTTCGTAATGTCGGTTTGCAGAAAGAAGAATTATTTAATGTTTTTAAATCCATTCAAAATGATGCCCCCAGCTACGCTTTCCTGTGGTTCCTCTACTTTGCCGAGTTTGCAAACACCAATTCGACAGTTGCTAATTGGCATAATCACAAGTAGGTAGAGTTGACACAAGTGTCTTTTTGTAGCCTGGAGGAACTCTCTATCTGTCATTTAATTTTTCAAGCCATGATGGAGCGCTGGCAGGTGGCGACGATTGTGACGTCTTTGACTCATGCGACTTATATTTTCGTATTTGCGTAAAGACCGATGGCAGCAGGTAAGCACTCCTTTAAGGTGGACCTGGATGTAGACACTGGGTTTTTAAAATTTATTATTCTAAGTTCTAGAATCGAGAAAATGTCCGAGGCAAAATAGGAAAATTAGTAAAATTTAACAAATGCTAAAGCCTCCTGGTGTTAGAACAATAGTGGTGGTTGCAAGCACGGTCAGAGAAAGGTTGCTCACATAAATGCAGTTTTCACCATTGTCTCGAATTCGGATATCAATGTAGCTATCAATAACGTGTAAGGAAAATGTAAGTTGAGCACTACCTAGCAACTGCAGATACCAAGACCAAGTACAATTTGTAAAGTAGTCACAACATATTTCGGAAAGCGCATGCACAAAGATTTCTGCTTGCTTTGAAAAGCAGGTTAACTCGTATTACTTTAAATGTAACTACAAACATGATAGAAGAGTAAAATGTAGGTAACTTGGCAAGTAAACGTGTTGCCGCAGTTTATGACGTTGAAACATCCAAAGTTGCTTAATATAAAGTCATGTAAAAGTTAGTAAAATACAAAACAAATCCTGCTGTGGGTGGCAATTACCGTCATATTTACGGATCCAATTAGGTTTTCACCATTTTCTTTTGGAAAGTGCAGACAATCGTGTACAGCAAGAAATTTTTTTACTTTAGGAACTGCGACCTGTTTAACTTTACAACAAAACCTATACTCGATGTTATAGGAGTTTTCTTTTACGGTGAAGCCTCTTTTAAGTTTGCCTTCACGCCAGATGTTAATGTAAGTCATAAAAAAGTTTGCGTACTATTGCTTGATAAGATTCCCTATTACCTTTTCGATATCGGCCTGGTTCAACACCATTTTTGCAAAATTGTCAATCTTCTGTACACTCAAAGATAAATATAATGTAATGGAACAAATCCACTCCACTATTGACAAGTGACTTATATTGCCATTTAAATTAGATTAACAAGCTATTGATACCCCTACGGAAAAATTATGTACATTTTAAGAATCACCTCAAAACATAAAGCTGCACCATCAAAACAAAAGGAGTCTGATTTAGAATCACTCAAACTTGTTCCCCATGATTAGGACGTTCGCAGTACCCTAATCCAGTCCCAAAGGAGGACGGAGGCAACTCAGGAAATAGCTTTAATAATTTTGTAATATTCAGCCTGACTAAACAACACAACTATGGCAAAAGCCCTACTATAAAATGAAGGATTATTGTTTCTTTGCAATGCAGTCGTGCTTCATAATTAATACGATTTTGCAAAAAATCAAGACACTATTTAGCGGTTTTTGCTGCCACAGCACATTTTTTTCTGTCGTGAAATTATGCTGTACTTGATTTTTTTTTACTTTGAAACTTATCGATATCTATACACTCCGATAAGTCCTTTTTTCTAATTTACCTTCATTTAAACCTAAATTTTTGCTTTGATTCTTCTTTTCAATTAAAAAGCGATGGCCTCAGAAGGCGGTAGGATCCATCATTAGTCAAATTTAGCACTTGCGCTCCTCCGAAATTTTAAAAATGGGATGTATTTTGACGCCTCACGTCCAGCGAAGATATTTTAAATAATGTCATTTTTAGCAACACGCACTGCAGCATAATGCTTAGTGTCTTGGCAAAGCACCAAGAAATCCCTGCACCCAGTGGCGTTTTTAGCATTTTCTTTCAAGCAAATCCTAGTTGTTCGAAATCTTGGTTTTAAATACCTTTTTTTCGATTTTTTTGATCTACTTGTCTATTACCACTTCCACAAACCTAACTTCACATTGAATATAGTCCTGTTAAAGTACATTTAGGGCAGGTGAGATACGTTTTAAAAAATTAAAATGACATAATCACCAACCTGACAACCACTAACAGCTTTAGTTGGTCTAGGAAAAATGACTTGATCATAAAAAAGTCGCAATTTTTAAGAACGTCCCAAAAAAGTTATTGCCCTAAATACTAACAGTTAAAATGGGCTGTGTCAGACCCAAATTTGTAAAATAGATCATTGGACTGTTCTATTTTCTGTCGTTATTTGGTGATGCGCATCAAGTATCTTGCAATATCAGCACTGAAACTGGTGGTTGTGTTGTAGATAATTTGTACATATGCAAAGGGGTACATTCGGTTTTGAAGAAACAATTTTAAAACATCGGTTACTCCTGTTTTGATTACCTAAACGTTTTGGAGAAGCTACCAAAAACTGATCACTCTCTCGAAGACTGTTCCCACCAGTAAAATTTCACGCGTGCTAAAAATCCGCGTCCAATCTCTCCATAATTTGACGGGGATAAACGACCTGTCAACGTGATCTTGCACAAACTGAATGGGAAGTCAAGGACAGGACGCTTTCTAAATAGCAGCTAGCTACAGTCGAAAACGAATCGTGGGGAGCTCCCATGACACAACGAAACCATTTCAACTTTCCTGAAAGACCACAATGGTGGATCATGAAGGACGTTGTTATGGAGTGTTAAAAAATAGATGCAGCATTGCTGACTGCAATGACCTTCACAGGCAACGCCGACTTTATGGCTATGTAATCATGATAATTTTGAGGATCTGGGATAAAAAGCATTGAAGTGCAACACATATTATTTCAATAAAGGTAATGACAGACCACTTAAGCTGATAATTTGTAAATTGAGATAGTTACGAAGAGGCAGATTTGCAACTACCCGATACTTAGTTCAATTACTGCCTATTTATGCGGACCACGATTGAAATTTTGCGGTAGTGACCTAGATATGTGATGAAAATGACGTGTTTCTCTTATATTAACGATCGTTGGGCATTTTTTGGTTGTTAACCAAGGAAAAAGACCGTTTTGGGACATGTAACTTAAAGTAAGAGCCATGAGATTTTTGAAGCTACTTTTGAATGCAACCATCGAGTAAAATTCGCCGTAACACGGGGAACTTATTAGCTAGGCTGCGATGCTTGTTAATGTAAGGTACGCTAAAAATTCCGAGTGAAATAAAATTTAACAATTCAACCTAGTTTTCACCTGCAATCCACTATGCAAACAGATACAGTGCTTGTTGTTGAACTAAGAATTCTTGCCTATCCCACAAGTAATAAGTCTATTGAGGCCGCACACACTACTTGAGACCTCTTAGGCACGTGAAATGCTGGTGTTTGGTTACCATTAGAGAAAATTTTTTTCCATTGACTGCTGAAAAAGGTTACAGGCAGATTACTGTTGAAAAACAATTATGTTTATGTTTTTTAGAGAATTTATGTGGTCATTGAGGCTTGGGATCACGATATCGTTTCAAATGACGACTTTGTTGGCCGAGTTGAAGGCACCACTAAAATCGAAAACTTAAAACACAATGACACGGCTCTTATTCTGCAGCCTGCCAGCAACCATTATCATAATTCATTCAGGTAGGCAAGCAACAATAGCTAAGGTAGATGTTCAGTTAAATGCGACTTTCCTAACTTTTGTGCCATTTTTGAAGTTGTGTGTATGGTTTTAGCTATCATATAAAGGATTTTCATTTTTAGCATTAGTGCGTCGATGCGAAAGATGTGCAACTTCAATTTCACCGGATCGACATGCCAGTGCAGTAGTGAAGACAAAAGCGGAACTTGCAATGTTGACAAAGATCCTGAACGTAAATTAGGTAACTTGAGGGCAGCTTAGAATACCTGACTACTGTTACTCTTTATGCGCCAGTTACGAAATCTCGCAACTGTATACCTGCTCTATTTTGTTATTTACTCACGATCACGATTGGCAAATGCAACAACCAGTATGAATTAAAGCAGTTTCACTTTAGACCAGAGTAGATTTATCAACTACTCGATTTCCACGGCTAAAAGTAAAAAATCTAGCAACTGGAATACAGTTTTTGCAAATTAGAAGAAGATGCTTGCCAAGGAGCCCGTATAAGCTCTTGGGTGTTTTTTTACCTTTCCACTCACTGCAAACTATGTGAGCAGACGGAGCTCCAAACTTTAACAGAAAAAAGTCCGAATTTAGGCGATCCAATATCGATTATTCCTCCGTTGAAATCCATATTCTTTAGATTTAGTTTTCAAAGATTCGGGTCCATGCAGCAACGAAGCAGTTTGCGGTGACCACGGCCACTGTCACCCAGAAGGTGAGACCTACTTTTGTGAGTGTGACGCCGGATGGACGGGTTCTAACTGCAAGCAGCCTGTCGACGATTCTCGATGTGCAGCAGCCCAGAAGGTCATAGGAGGAGAAGTGTGTTTAAACAACGGTGTCTGCATAGATGGTTCTGATGGTAGAAGTTACGCATGTCAATGTCCGCCAGGCTTCGATGGTGTTCGATGCGAAAATAAACATGTAAGAACGATTTTCTTAGGGCAATGAAAACAGCCTGTGATCATGACTTGTTAAATAACCTGGTGTCTCGAGGTTCAAGCAACGATTGCAAATTCACAGCACTGAATAATGTAATTGTGGTGTCCGAAAATACGCCATTTGTAGGCGCACTGTTAAAATCTGATTGTTTGCCATTAAAAAGGTTAAAACAGTTGGAAACGAAGAATCAGAACCTTATTTGCCTAACTTTAAAACTGTTTAAAGCAAATTTCACTTGATTAGCTTCTTGAGTTATAGCAGATACTAGAATCCTATGGACTTGGTCCGATTCAACATAGACAATTAGGATTTTGACGTTTGATTCCGTTAAATATTTGACGTCGTGAGTTATTTAATGTTGGCATTCATGCTTTCACTTCAGATTGTTTATAAGGAATGACTTTGCAATCTTGTCGAGTTTTAGGCATGTTTTAATATAACGTGCAGCAGTCACGGTCGGTGTACTGTAATAGGAAAGACCTTGGAGGACTTCCTCTGCACGTGCGACGCTGGCTGGAAAGGGGTTCTGTGTGACCTTCAAGATGCGGACCCCTGTGAAAGGGCCTTTGATACCTTACCTGAAAATCAACTTTCCATTTGTCTCAATGGTGGCATTTGCGTACAGCTCAACGGAACTGACTACGACTGTCAATGTTTTAATGGTTGGTCGGGGAAACATTGTGAAATTCACTTTACGCAGGTTCGTTAACATAGTGTGTTTTTGTCTTCTGGTTCTCACTAAACTTGTTCGAATTATGTGCATTCTCTTTTTTTACGTGATTAATAACACTAAAACATTCCTTTTTAACAATAAGTGTGCATTAGACCTCGTTAAAGTATTGTTAAAAGTCATTATGGGAATTACAGACGTCAATGACCTTCTGTGTGCATTAATTATCATGTCACTTGATTAATATGACATTATTTGATTAATTGGTACATTCACATAAACATATATGTGAATTCTGAATGTTTTCATATCACAAGACCGCATAAAAAAGAGTAAAAACATAATCTTTTTTCTTCATTCAGACCCAGATGTTCCTAGTTCCCTTAGCTCTGGTGTCATCGTTATTGGTGATAATTCCAGGTATCATTTACCTCTGTCAGTACTTAAGGTAAGATTTTACGCATATGGTTCCTCAGGTGTCTTCCAGTGATTTTTAAATCCTTGTTAAATTGTGCTTTTGAACACAGGAAATATATAGAGCATGTGACACAATGCCAGAACATAGATGCGCACTCAATAATGTCCTTTTTTGTTTCTTAATGTCGCTAAACCCTCAAAAATAATGATGGCTATTGTAAATCTTCTGTTTCCCTCTCTAACTTCACAAGAGCGCGGTTGGCCTTGCAGTATATTTCTGCTAAAGGACATGCTTTTTCCTACCTGTATGTTCAATACCTAATTACAGGAGGAATGTATCCAAGCCCACTGCTAAGCCGGCATTCTACTGCAGAGGAGACGTCGTAAATGTAAACACCTCAATCGAAAAATGTCGACAATGGAAATGCGATTATGATGTGCTTGATATCTCCGACTCATCTTACGTACCTGTCAACAGAAATTCCTTTGTTAATTTGTCCCCGTCTTCTTAGAGTTTAGATGGGCTTTATGAACCCATACTGAACCGACCTACGAGGTACCTACTTCTTCAGTAAAAACATTAACCTTACAGATTGTCAGTGTTCACCTGCACTGGCACAGCCACAATATGTGATGGATTGGTTGTATAAACGATGTGTATTTTTATTTTTAGAGTTTACCACTCCCACCACTTTTGTCGATGTTTCCAGTTCAAAATTGTACTTTGTCTAAATGGCCTGGTAAATTTAGCAGATGACATCAATAATTTGTCCTCTACGCTCCGCAATGTAAATTAAATACAAATTTCGTTCCTTAGGAGACAATGGACTGGAATCATGCGTTAAATGTATAATCCTAAACAAAGTAAAGCAATCACTTTAGGCATGGCGTAGTGGACCGCCACAATCACGAA